GAAATGGTGCCATCTGGTGGTTTCTGGCAAAACAGCTTCTCGGCTGGGTAATGAAGAGGGCTTTGTTCCTTCACTAGATTGTGGGGACCGAGCCCTTGAAGCTCTGGCCAGGTGCACGCCACTCCTTGCCTCTTAAGAACTAGAGTGAGGGTTTGGTAAAGTAAGGTCACTTCTACAACTGCTGAGGAAAGGGTTCTTACTTCTCTACCTCTTTTCCTGCAAGTGTACCCCCAAGAAGGACAGGCTCTTCCTTGCCACCAGAGGCCCCTTTTCTACCAAGACTCCCACCTGCTAGCCCAGTCCTGTCTGTCCTGCTTGACATCACCACTGTGATATCCTACAGAGACCTAAATCATTACCCAAACCAAACTCATCTCCCCCAACTGAGACCTCCCTGTCTAAGCAAATGGCAGCTCATGGCCAGCTGCCCAGGAACTTTCTTCTCTCCATTCTCCAGCTGCCACACATCACCAAGTCACATTTGTCCTGTCTCAAATCCTTTGGTTTCTCTGTCCCCTCAACTTCCCAAGAGTCCCCTCCTGGGGTCCCTGCTTCCACTCTGTGCCACAGCCCACCTCCACATGTGTGATCCCCTTCTGTCCCCAACATTCCTGCACTTTCCCTCTCTGCTCGGGCAAGGCTCCCAGCTCACATGGCCTGGCCCTGGCTCCCTTTCAACAGCCTCCTCTGTGGCCTTTCTTCCTCCTGCTCCCATCCAGCCAGAGTGGCTTTTTTGCATCATGCTCCTCTCCTCATTCCAGAGCCCTCTTACTTGCCCCTGCTCAGGGTTGTGCCCCTATCCCCTAGCTGGTTGACTCCTACCTGCATCCTTCCTCCCCTGCCTCCCACCCTGGAGCAAGCAGACAAAGGCTGGCAGGCTGGCAGGGAGAGATGCTGGAGGGGAAAACTGCAGGTACTCCTGACCTCAGGGAATAATGCAGCAGGGTGGGTAAGGACCTACTTAGCACCACCTGGCACACAGTAGGTGCTCAGTCCACACTGGTGGTTGTTCTAGCAGACACTCAATGAAGACTTGAATAAGACTTCCAGTTTCTGGTCTGATATGTAAAGAGCTTGGAAGTTTCACTCCCATTTTCACAATTAGAAAAAAAGCCAAACAAACCAAAAACCAGGAATACTACCTAGATCCATGAGAGAATTTAGGTCATAGGGCAAAATGCTGAGCTGAGAATCGGAGAGACAGACAGGTTATTATGGAGAATCACAACTTTGCAGACACAGAAACTTTGAGGAAACAGCACCAGAGTAGGGAAGCTTAAATATAATTGAGAATTGCTGGTGGCTTAATGTGGACAAGCTTGAGATTTAACAAGTCCAGAGGCCCCAATGTTAGAAGGCCCCCAACTTCCTGAATTTTGCCCCCAGGAGCCCCATTAGGTTCTCACAGTGAAGATCAGAGAACCCCACCCTCCTGCCCACTTCAGCAAGGGGAGGGGAAAATAGCCATTTTGAAATATATCCAGAGATGGGGCACCTGGGTGGCTCAGTGGGTTAAAGCCTCTGCCTTCAGCTTAGGTCATGATCCCAGGGTCCTGGGATTGAGCCCCACATTGGGCTCTCTGCTCAGCAGGGAGCCTGCTTCCTCTCTCTCTGCCTGCCTCTCTGCCTACTTGTGATCCCTGTCAAAAAAAAAATTTAAAAAAAAAAGAAAGAAAGAAAGAAAAAGAAAAAGAAAAGAAAGAAATATATCCAGAGTAATTGGTTCTCCCTAACAAAGGCCTGCCCTCAAGACGGACTGCTATTTCAGAGCCTACCTAACCTGAGGGAAGGAAAACATTCAACTCTGGCCCCCTTTGACTTTCCTGTCTCTCCCAAAGTAGGGGCAGTGAAGGGGGAAAAGGCAAGGAGGACACAGGCCAAGGCCACAGGCTCACTAAGAGACTGGGGCCTGATCAGAGGACCCTCCACTCTCCCCTCAGGCCCCACCACCACAGGGATTTCAGCTGGAAGAAGTAAAAGCCTCAGACCCTGTTTAAGAAGGAACCTCTAGGGAAACCTAAAGACAACAAGGGAGACGAAAACAAGAGCACAATAAAAAAATGTTAATCTCTGAAACTACAGCTGCTGGGGAGAGTAAATACAGCCTAACTCCTAACCAGAGAAATATAAAACCTCACACTCTCTACCTCCACTCCTCTACCTGCTGCAGCATTATCTGGCTTTCAACAAAACATGACGCTGTATGACACAAGGTAAAAAATACAGTCTGAAAAGACAAGGCAAGCATCAGAACCACACTCAGATAAGGCAGAGATGTTGGAATTGTCAGACTGGGAATTTAAAACTGTAATAAATAATATACAAAGAGATCGAATAGAAATAGTGGGTGACACACAAGGATAGACAGACAATGTCGGCAGAGAGAATGGAAAACTTATGAAAAAGTGAACAAGAGATGCCAGGAATAATAAGTCTGTCACAGAAACGAAGAATGACTTTGATGGACTCATCTGTAGCCTAGACACAACCAGGGAAAGAATCAGTGAGTTTGAAAAAAGATCCATAGTAAGTTCCCTGACTGAAAAGCAAAAAACAAAAGAAAAAAGAAAAGGAATAGAAAAAAATATGGAACAAAGTACCTTAAACCTGTGGGGCAATTACAAAAGATGTAACATATGCATAATGAGAATACCAGGAGGAGAAAAATGAAGGGAACAGAAAAAAAAATATATTCAAAGTAATAGTTTTTGAGAATTTGCAATGGTGGGCCTCATAAAACAGATCCAGGAAACTCAGAAAACTAAGCAGGGTGAATACCCAAAACTCTACACCTAGGCATAGCATATTCAAACTGCAGAAAATCAGACACAGAACAAATCTTAAAAGCCAGAAACAGAAAAAAAATCTACCTAAGGAGGAGTGAGGATAAAAATTACATGACTTTCCTTCAGAAACTATGCAAGCCAGAAGAGAGTGGGGCACGTAACGTGTCAAAGGAAAAAAAAAAAAAAAAAACTAGAATTTTATGTCCTTCAAAATTGTCCTTCAAGAGTGAGTAGAAATACTTTCTCAGCCAAAAATCAAATGAAATAGTCTCCAGTAGACCTGCCTTGCAAGAACTGTTCTTCAGACAGGGAAAAGAATATAGGTCAGAAACTTGGATATATAGGGACACTGGGTGGCTCAGTGGGTTAAGCATCTGCCTTCGGTTCAGGTCATGATCCCAGGGTCCTGAGATCAAGTCCCTCATCCGGGTCCCTGCTCAGTGGAGAGCCTGCTTCTCCCTCTACCTGTCACTCCCTCTCCTAGTGCCCACTCTCTTTCTTTCTCTGACAAATAAATAAAACCTTTAAAAAAAAAAAAAAAAAGAAACAAAGAAAGCTTGGATCTACATAAAGACAGGAAGCAAGCTAGAGAAGGAATAAAGATAAAATAAATACTTGAGTGAAACAAACAAACCACACCTTCCCCAGTAAGTCTTCCTGTCCTGGCCTAGCCCAGCACCCCTTCTAGTGTTCCAGGAGCACCCAGCATGGCCTACTGACACAGTTCTGTGCTGGCTTGGTGTCTCTCTCCCCAAAAGCCTCATCTATGTGTCCCCAGAGCTAAGTCCATGAGTAGAAAGCGCTCACACCAGAGGCCAGGACAGTGATTAAATAGCTTGTCTCTTTATTAGCAGTTCAGCGGGAAGATTCCATTGGTGCCACTATCACAAGGAAGGGCTCGGCCGCCAGATCCTCTCTGTCCAGGTGTGGTCACTCCTCTGGTCAAGGGGTGATAGACGTTCTTTTGACAAAGGCTGTTCCTTGACCCTGAAGGACATGAACCTGGGAAGCAGAGGAATGCCCAGGGGCCACATCACAGAAATGCAGGATGGCTAAAGGGTTTGATGTGATCACACCTTCCCGACATTCCTAGAGCTGCGTTAGACCAGAAAACCCGCAGCAGGAAAGGATGGTGGTGCACCAGACAGACCTGGATCTGCTTCCTCAAACTTCAGAAGACCATGCAAGCACCCTGATTCCTCATATGTTCAATATTAGTAAACAGTTGACATGGCGCATCATGTCATTTACGAAGTGTTGATAGCCATTTTCCTCAGGACACTGTTCTGAAGTCTGAGGAAATTGAGGCACAGAGGCATAACTCAACTTGCCCGGGATGGAGCTGGGTGAAAGACAGTGTCCACTCCTAAGGCTTGGCCTAACCGCTGCCATCTGTATAATGGGCATGAACAATGCCTTCCTCTTAAGGTTCTTTTGGATCAGATGAAAAATCTTGACAATGCTTTATGCTAAAGCTGGGATATAGTAAGTGTTCCATAAATGCCAACACTATATCTCCATGGCCTTCCTTTAAGCCTGTTGGGAGTTGGCTTGGTCTAAAACACTCCTTCAGCCCCCTGTGACCTCCAATTCAGTCTTCACACCTGGGGAGGGTGCAGTAACGTTTTCCTGAATGAATGGCCTCTATAGTACATCCATGTCATTGGCCTTCTACCTCCCAGAGCCACATAAATAGCTACTTGTGACCACTGGTTCCCAGGGCAAGTCAAGAAGTCACAGGAGCCAATGTCAAGGCCCTAATTTGTGGCAGGGACAAAATCTATGTGCCCTCACTCCTGACCGCAGTGCTCTGTGATCTTGTGGTTCAAAGTGGGGTCAGAAGACCTACAGCAGCAATGCCTGGGAGTGTTAGAAATGCAGAGCAGCAGGCCCCCCACAACCTACTAACACAAGATCCCCAGGTGGTCCCTGGCCTGTGCGTAATTGAGAAGCACTCACTGTGACACCACAGCTAAAAGAGTCAGGCCAATCTGAGCTTGACTTAGAGTCCTTCCAGAAATTTAAGAGAGGCACTGCAGGACCCTGAGGCAGCTGCCCTATGCCCCACTCTCACTGGCCCCAAGTATAGGCCCCCTCACCAAAGGAAAGGCTAAACCTTATTATCAAGCTCCCACCCCAGTGTACTGTCTCACACCCAACACATCCATCTCTTCCGCCCAGCTCCTCACTGGTCGGCCCTCTCACCTGTAGCTCTCAACATTCTGCATAGGAACTTCTGCTGTGAATATCCTGAGATGATTCATCTGTAAGGCTGCATATGCTGCAGGGAAAGAGAAGAGGAGCAAGGCAGATGGGATGGCAAAGCCTGCCCAGCTTTGGTATGGATCTGGGGTGCCTGGGCAGCCATTGCCTCATTCAGGCCCTGGAGCAGAGTCCTACGAAGAGCTCCACACATAGTCAGGGAACCTGCAGAAGAGAGACCTCCCCCCTGCCGCCGCCCTCCGCCACCCGACCCTATTAGGTGTACAAATCAGATAATTTCCCACAGCTTACCTTCGTCTCACCTGCTCTATTCGTTCTCGCACAATGTCAGTCCTCGCCTCACTTGGCACTTGGAAGATACGAGTATGGCTGCAAAACACCATTTAAACATTAGGATTTCCGAGTTTCTCTTTCACTAGGCATAGTGAATGGGTTGGAATCATACAAACGATTGTTCTGACCCTGTCGCCATGAACTCTTGAGCTGGTCCTTCACTCCTCTTGCATGAGGCACACAAAGGTTTTTGTTTTGTTTTGTTTTGTTTTTTACTATCAGTACCCCTGAGCCACCCAGTAATCCTGGGCTGGCAGCAAATGGTCCTAAGAAGAGTTGAAGAAATAGAGAGGTTAAGTGTCTTTACACAGCAGGTCAGTGGTCTTGTAAGATGTGGAATTCACCCCCCACCCTGAATTCCTCTCCACCTCCATATCACCTCTTTATCACCTACTTTATGCCATACTTACTATGGTTTAGGAATAATTCTGCAAAATTATCTCATAAGGAAGCTGCAGGCCCCTCATCACTGCTCTTCTGTTTTATTTCACCATACCGATTTGCCTCTGTCTCTGTGGTCCAGCTCATGTCCTCCTCAACTCCATCCCCCTCTCCTCCCGCAAACCCTCCATTCCAGCAAAACCAGTTTGCCCACTGAATCCCCCAATTTTGCCTCTATTGTTCTAGGTGCTCTGGGGCTTTCAGTGTGAAGACACTGATATTGCCTCAAGGGCTTGAAGCCTGGAGGTGACAAATGTGCTCATTTATCACTCACTCAAGGTGGAGTTGGGTCCAATTTTGCCCAAAGAGAGGGGTAAGAAAGAATAAAGATTACTCCCATCCCAAGGCAGAAAGGGGTAGGCCTCAGAGAAAAGGCTGCAGCCCTACACACTGGCCAGATGGAATTGGCCAATTTACCAAGGCTCCCATGATCTGTGGAAACCCCTTCCTCCCCACTTCTGTTTAGTCAGTCCCTGCCCATGGGTCAGTCCAAGTAAATGCCCTGCTAGAAACCTTTCCAGGGTCTCCCAGGCAGCAATGCTAGAACTTAAAATAGCGGGGTCCGTCAGGCTATGCTCTTGCTCTTGCACTCCTCATGGCTTTTCTGCCATTTTCTCTAATATTCACGCACCTTATTCATCTAGTTCACTTCTATCCCTTTGAAACTGGGGACTCCATCTTTAGAGGACCTAGAAAACATCTACCAAATAAATGAGTATCTGCTGTTGCTTAATGAAGGGGTATGTATTCCCTGACTACATATTTACTAAAACTAATAAAAGAATGCCAAAACCAGTGGATTGGAGGGGGAGACAGGCACAGTTTATGGGTTTAAAAAGTCCACAGAAAGTCCAGAGTGGAAAAATTATATATGGATAATTGTGATTCCTGTAGCTTGTCTCCAAAGCTTTAACCTAGTTATGCCATACAGCTAGGTCTAAATTTTTGAAGATGATATTCATATTATCCAGACCAAGGAACTGCCACAAGGAACCGCTCCCATCCAGTGCAGCCATGTTGGGCAGGGACAGGCTCCCACGTGTGAGGTTGTGGCTGGATTACAGTCCACAACATTTACAATTTTAGAATGGGGTTCCCATCCAAAAAGTCTTTCCCTGGAAGGTCTCAAATTCCACCATTTGTCACTCCTTCCTGAGCTTTTGAATCCTGTTGTAAAATGCTAATGGCACCGTAAAGGGTAAACACAAGAAAACTGGATATCCCAAAGCAAAAATACATTTCTTGAGAAATGCGTCCACCTTGATAGAAGTGAACAAAGGGGGCAATGGGGGCATGGCAAGAAAGTACAGAAATGAGAGAGAGAGCTCCTCCACAGTTTCATGGAGGACCAGTTTAATTCCACAATTCTTCTGCTGGGAAAAGAGACCCCAAGTGAACACAGTTCTGAAAAGGAAATAGGAAAGCTCATGCCAGAGGGAATGAGCTGGCTTCCAGGCTCAGCTCCCTCCACATTGTGTCTCAGCCCCTTCCGAGCCAAGTAAGGCAGAAGGAGGTGGTCTGTGCTCCTGCAGGCACGGCAGGAGTCTGGCAAAACTACCGTAATGTGGAGCACAGAATTCTAGCCTCGGGCTCTGAGAAACCTCCTCTCACCTCAGCTGCAGATGAGGGCTCAGGCTTTTGCATTTTAAGAGCTTATTTTCTTTTAGCTCTTTAAAATGCAGCCACTTCTGAACAAATCAAGTGCAAAAGTAACAGAAGTCTGAAATTTATTCAGAAGCATTGAAGAAATGGTGAACAAGCCCAGTTTTGCAACCCCCCAAGTCATGTTAAATCTTAGGAATGAGCTGGGCTTTCAAGATAGCAAAAATATTCCCTTAAGACCCCAAAGTAAGGGAAAAATTTCTCAGCCAGAGAAGTCAACATCTCTGGAGAAGAATAGCTATGTTTGTGTTGGCCAGGAATCCCAAAGGTGCGGGACTTTTGCCTCCCTCCCCACAATTCCACTCATGGCAAATAAGACGCTTTACCTCCATCTTATGAACTGGATTCTTGTTCTTTCCTCCAGGACCTCTTGACTCTGGTTTGCCAACAAATCAGATTTTGAGAGATGGTGCTTCACCTAGGAAATCCAGGTAGTGTACATGTGATTACTGTCCAGCAAGGACACCGTGGCCAGGATGGAGCCCAGCCTGGACAAGCTCTGTCCACTTGCCCAAGACCCTTTTCAACTGAACCTTGTGCCTGCCCAGCTCCCTCTCTGCCCGCTCCCCTAGGATGACTATCTTAAACTCTCAGTTACCACATCTCTGGTAACATGTACATCTTGGCCATGGGTGGGAAGGCAGCCGGCAGACATCTTCTCCTTTATGTCCTGGGAAGCTTCTTCTTCAGTCTGAAAGGTGAGCAATTTCCCCTGAAATTGTATCTGAGTCCAAGTCTGTGTCTTCTGCCTTTTCCCTGTTTTCCCCTCTGTCACAACACACATCCCATATGTCCTCACTTACGCACTCTATCTCACAGTTCCTGCCATAAGCATGTCTATTACTACCTTCCTGTAGAATTCCAGAGGACTCATTAAGTCCATGGCCCTATCTCAAGGTTTTCCTGAGATGCCCTGTGGCTGGGGATGACATATCTGAAACCCCTCATCCAGTATCCTTAAGAAGCAGGTGGGGATCGTGGTGATTCCAACACATCTCTGCCAAGAGATCACATAAGCCCCAGGGTCTTGTAGGACATTTAGTGAATTAGACACAACTCTAGGCAGGGTGTTTAGCAATGAACTTGAGTTTCCCAGTTCTAAGGGGAAAGGATTCTAGATTCCTGCACCCATGGAGGCTAGCTCTCTAGAATTTGGGGTACCCTGAGTCATAGAGGAATATTACTCACTTTTTTCAACCAGTGCTGTACTACAGATACAGCCTCGCTTTCTACAACTTCAACGTCCTGCAAAAAATTGGTAAGTTAATGCCCTCAGAATACCTAGAAACACAGCCCTCTTCCATTCTTATCCAAAGTTATACATCTTTATATATATATATATATATAAAGATCTCTTTGAAGTGCAGTGGGGGGGGGGGCGCTCAGAAAGGAGCATATAGATGAGAAACAATTCCAGGTAGATACCTGCAGCTCTACTTACTGAACTGATTTTTGGTGGGAAGGGGAACCCTGCACCTTTCCGGGCAAGAATGTACACAATCCATGTTGTAATTATCATCTTTGAACTTATGCCAGGACTCCTTCTTGGCTCCCTCCTTCCATCGAAGCTGCCTGAGAATTCCTCTGGAACAAGGAGGTCATTGCTAGGATGTGCCCACCTGATTGGCTGGCCAATGATGATGTGACAATGGCACATCAATGGCATCCTTTAATCTCTGGGGTCAGACGGAAAAGAGGTAAGGAAGTATCTGCCTTAGTGATGGCCATAGCTCAGAAATGGAGAGTTAGGGGGATGGGAACAAAAAGTAAGGAACAACCAATATAAACCTGAGGAAGACACAGGGGGAAATTACCAAAATTATAGAGATTTGGTTGGGGAAGGGGGAGTATGTCTTGTCACCTGGTTTTAAGGAATGCTGAAGCAGAAAGATATTTTATGAATCAAAAGAGTAAATTTGTCACAAAATAATCCAGGCCCTCGAGAAGTTGATTCAAACAATGCCACGGATACTTCTTATTCTTACATGTGGGGGAAGAAAGAACTTGTCCATCCCCCAAAAAATCAAAGATGGAGGAACAAAATTCTCACCAAGGACATTTTCTTTCTTTTTTTTTTTCTTAACTTTTTTACAGCAGTGATTCAAATCATAAAAAAAAAAAAAATCCAAACAATTAGAGGTATAGAGTAAAAAGTATAAATGCCATTTCCTATTAAAAAAAAATTTCCTAATGATTTCCAGTGGACTGCTTCAATGGAAGGACCATAAAGTGGAAGTGGAAAGGAGATTGTGTTGTGACTTCAGTGTTGGGGGAAAACATTGATAGTTCAAGTGGCTGCTGCTATTCCTATCTAGAATTTTCACCAAGAAATTGAATGAAGTTCAGAATGTCTAAAGGTTGGGACGCCTGGGTGGCTCAGCTGGTTGAGCGGCTGCCTTCAGCTCAGGTCATGATCCCAGCGTCCTGGGATCGAGTCCCACATCGGGCTCCTTGCTTGGCGGGGAGCCTGCTTCTCCCTCTGCCTCTGCCTGCCATTCTGTCTGCCTGTGCTCACTCTCTCTCCCGCTCTCTCTGACAAATAAATAAAATCTTAAAAAACAAAAACAACAACAACAAAAAAACCAGAATGTCTAAAGGATACTAAACAAATGTTCAGCTGCTCCCAAAGTAACAGTAACCTAATTCTGAGACCATTCTCAAGGTCCTAAAAACCAGGGTTGCAATCTTGTCTTTACACTAACTCATTGTGTGTTTCATTCTAGTTTCTTCTTCTTCAAATCATTCTAGTTTCTTCGTCTTCAAAATGAAAAGAATGGAATAACGTCTGTAGTTTTCTTTTAGATCTAATATTCTATAAATGTTCTCATTCTTCCAAAAGTATCAAAGAGTATCTCTCTCCCCAATTCTCCTCATATAGCCACTATTTCTCTTCCCTCTCAACAAATCACCTCAATTTTACATCTTTGTTGATCGGAATACTCTAGATTTTGTTGAGGCAACAAAATAGTCCCCCAAAAGGTTTACTTTTTACACAGGGTGATGTATAGAAGTGTTGAATCACTATATTGTACACTTGAAACTAATGTAACACTACAGGTTAACTAACTAGAATTAAAAATTAAAACAAAACGACAACAAAAAAGGTTCACTTCTCACTCTCAGATACTCCAGTACAATGTGAGAAGTTCTTCAGGGTAGTCATGCTCCATGTGGTGAGTTAGAGATCTGGAAAGAATTTCATCCTGTGGCCCCAGGGTCTCAGGATATCACCTCCATGATTCCCAAACCAAGAAGAGAAAACATATGGTGAAACAAAATCAGCCCTTCTGCTTCAACCCAAAGTCGTCTTCTTATAGGTTGTTGGCCAGTATTAGTCATATGACCCCAACCTAACTCCCAGGGGGACTGAAATTGAAAAACAGAAGATGAAATTACTTGTCAACATCTCTGTTTCTGCCACTATACCCTAAGAATTATGTTTTGATCTGTATTGATATAATTTTTTGAATATAAAAATTATTAATGTGGTTCAAAAGTTAAAACTAAATGAAAAGGAATACTCAGGGGGGCACCTGGGTGGCTCAGTGGATTAAGCCGCTGCCTTCGGCTCAGGTCATGATCTCAGGGTCCTGGGATCGAGTCCCGCATCGGGCTCTCTGCTCAGCAGGGTGCCTGCTTCCCTCTCTCTCTCTCTCTGCCTGCCTCTCCGTCTACTTGTGATCTCTCTCTGTCAAATAAATAAATAAAATCTTTAAAAAAAAAAAAAAAAAGGAATACTCAGGGGAGTTCTATCTCTTCTCTGTTCAACCTTGTTCTTACTTCAGAAGTAAGATTTTCATAAGTTTTTAAGATATACCTCTTGTGTTTCTTTCCAAAATGAAAGATATACATAAATCTATTCTCACCTTTTATTAATATGTTATAAAATGCATACAGGACAGTATACAAACACACGTACAGTTCAGAAAAATTAAGTGGGTGTGAGTACACATATACACAATGAACCACTTCCAGTACCCCAGCAAACCCAAGTAAGACCCTCCTACAAGGTGACCAATATTTTCACCTCTATTACCAAAGGTAAGTTTTGCCTAGTATTCCTTAGTATTAGCAGAACACATATTATTAATCAAATTTACTATTAATGGACATTTATGTTATTCTACTTTGATGCTTTTTTTAAACTAACGCTGCTATAAACACTCTTACAGCTATTTTTTTGGTTGACATAAGCACTAAAGCTTGAGTATATACATACCAAGGTCATAGGCTTTACGTATATTTAGTATTACTACCTACCAAAATATATTCCAAAGTGCTTGTACCAGCTACAGTCCATGAGCAATGTATGAAAGGAAGAGTAGCTTCAACTTCTAGCCAACACTTGGTATTTCATTTTTATTGAATATTTAATCCATATGAAATAATAATTAAAATACAATTTATGTACAGTTTAAAAATAACAATACAAGGATACCCATTAAAGAAAAAGAACATTATTGTTATTTTTTATATCCCCTGTGTATCCCTCCCTGATTCTATCCTTTTCTCTTTTTTTTTTTTAATTAAGTTTACTTGGCATGGCATTTTTATTATTTAGCCAGATTAGTGGAGATAAACTGGTAACCAAGGATAGTTTAATTTGTAAATAATTAATCAGTTAATGGTGTTAAACATCTGAGTTACATGGTAACTCTATTTTTGAGGAACTGTCAAGATGCTAAATGACAGCACCATTTTACATCTCCACCATAAATGTGTAAGAGTTCCAATTTCCCCACAACCTTGCCAACAGTGTTATCTGTCATTCTAATTTTAGCCATTCTACTAAGTATGAAGTGGCATCTCATTGTGGTTTTGATTTGTATCTCTCTGATGATAAGTGATGCAGAGCATCTTTTCACATGCTAGATCATTTGTATATATTCTTTGGGGAAATATCTATTTAGATACTTTTGATTTTATAATTGGATTATTTGTCTTTTTATTGTTGAATTTTAAGTAACAGCTATTTATATATTCTGTGTACAAATGTCTTCTTAGATATATGATTAGCAAATATTTACTCCTATTCTGCAGGTTGTCTTTTCACTTTCTAGATGATATCATTTGAAGGAAAGAAATGAAGTTATCTTTCATCACACAAAATGATAAACTGAACTTTTAATAAGGTGCAGTTTATCTATTTTTACTTTTGATGCTTGTGCTTTTGGGGCCATATCTAAGATATACCTATTACACAGTCATGAAGATTTATTCCTATTTTTTTCTAATAATTTAATAATTGCTTTTACATTTGTGTCTATCATCCATTTTTCATTAATTTTGGATATGGTGTGAGGTAGGGGATCCAACTTCATTCTTTTTGCATGTGCATTTAGTTGTCCCAACCCCAGAGAAAGAGAATTTCTTTCTCTATTAAATTGCCTTAGCTCCCTTGTCACAAATTGATTAACCATAAATATAAAAATTCTGGACTGCAAACTCCTTTTTTTAAGGATTTTATTTATTTATTTTAGAGAGAGAGAAAGAGAGAGAACATGAGTGAGGGGTGGGGCAGAGGGAGAGGGAGAGGCAGAGAATCTCAGGCAGACTCCATGCTGAGTATGGAGACTAATGTGGGGCTCCTTCTCACGACTCTAAGATCATGACCAAGAGGCCAAAACCAAGAGTTGGATGCTTAACCAAATGAGTCATCCAGGTGCCCCATGGACTGTAAATTCTTTTCCATTCATATGTGTACCTACCACACTGCTTTGATTATTTAATTACTTGATTGTAGTATGTTTTGACATTGAGAAGTGTGAGTCTCCAACTTCATTCTTATTTAAGACTGTTTTGGCTATCGTTAGTTTCTTGAATTTCCACTGGAATTTTGGAGTCAGCTTGTCAGTTTCTCTAAAAATAACTTTAAATGCCTGTTGATATTTTAACAGGGATTGCACTGAATCTGTTGGTCAATTTTGAGAGTGTTGTCATCTTCGTAACACTAAATCTACCATTCCTTAAACATGAGGTGTTTATCTATTTATTTACATCTTCTTTAATATCTTTCAACAAAGCTTTATAGTTTTCAACGTGCAAGTCTTGCACCTCATTTGTTAAGTTTATTCCTATGTAGTTTATTCTTTTTGATGATACTGTAAATGGAATTATCTTCTTAATTTTATTTTTGGATTTGTCATTTCTAGTGTACAGAAATATATTAGGTTTTTAATATTAATCTGTATCCTGCAACGTTGCTGAACTCATTTCTTATAATAGTTTTTTGTGGTTTCCTTAGAATTTTCTGCATATAAGGTTATGTCTTCTGCTGTTAAAATCAAAGTCTTAATTGAGAAGTAGTGGAATCCTGAAAATTAGTATGGAGACATATGGAAAGATCCTAATAAGGCTAGAGATATTTAAATCCTAAATAATTCTTACTCTTCTTTGCCAGTAGAAGCAGTCCTTCAATCCCATGCGAAGAGATTGATCCTGCTTTGCCTGAAGTACTTACCTTTAAAGACACATCCTCATTACCCCACTTGGCTCTTAGATTTATAACTACACTCAAGT